CCCCCCCCCCGTTCCAGAATGGACTATGCCCTCCGCCCCAGGCTTGGCATCTTCTCTCTGGAGCTGTTTTCCAGAAGGTCGCCAAGCACCGGCTGCCTCGGGGCTGCCCTGCCTGGTGTCCTCTCCTGTTCCGTGGCGGCGTTTGGAGCTCTCTTTGCCCTGCCTGGCACTCCCTGGGCACTGCGCCTGGCCGGAGTTCCTTGCCTCACCAGCTGCTCACCCCACAGTTGGGACCTTCCGGGGCTGGGAGAGAAGGCACAGATTGGTTTGAGCAAAGCAGCCTTTGGGGACCAGCAGTTGGAAACTGTGGGAGAAGTGCCACCTGTGTGAGGGTGGCCCGTGCCCCAAATACCACCACCTCCTTTCTGTCCCTTCCCCGGACAGCAGAAGGCCACCCTGGGTGGTCATGAGGACGGACATCACCGCCGGCTCTTCAGTCCCTGGGCGGAGCCGTCAGGGTGGAGACACGTGAGGCTCTGCCAGTGGTTTCGGAGGTTCCCAGACTGCTGGCCTGGCCGAAGTCATGTGACTGCCCCAAACCAGTCACTGGGGCCCCGTGCCCAGGCCCGGTGCCCTCCAGTGGGGAAGCGGGCAGGAGAGAGGGTGGGGCGCAGCTGCCTGCGGGAGGAGTGCTCCCCTAAATGAGATGAACGGGAAGTGGGCCCACGGCCCCCAGCACCCCCTGCATCTCTTCACCTTTATTGCAATAGCCTCTGGGTTCTCCATGCTTCCTGCCCTGTGCCCCTGTGGCCGGAGTAGGTCTTCCTAAAGCACCGCATTAGCCTTCCACAGCTCCCTCAGCCCCTGAATTAAGCACAGGCTTCCTGGTTGGCGTCCCAGTGGCTCGTCCCCATCCCTGTCTCCTGTCTCTTGTGCGCACCTGCAGCCTGACCCCGCCCCTCCAGCAGGAACCCTTGTGTTCGCAGATCCCTCCCACGTGGGGTTTCCTGCCCCCATCTCAGCCCAGCGTGGTCCCTCCAGTCCCTCCTTTATTTCAGGAAGCCTCAGAGTCAGGAAAGTTCTAGATTCACCCCCACCCTGCCTCCTACTTGCTGTGCGGCCTTGGACAAGGACACCTCTCCCGTGCCGCAGGTCTTCGGTCTGTAAGGGGGATTCTGGCAGCGCCTACCTCGGAAGACTGCTGGGAGGTTATCAGAAGTGAGGATCTGAATGAGAGCAGCCCTGTCCGCGTGGGCTGTCCTTACCATCACCTCGTACAGGCTTGCTTTTGCTCATGTAGCACTGACAGTGCACTTTCCACTCGGGAGGTTTCAGGGTCCGCCCAGTGCCCAGGAGGTGCCTGCCCCAGGCCACCATGTGGTCAGTGTCTGGCCGGGATGGGCTGGCGTCAACCCCAGCCAGGGCGGGCTTGCAGGAGCTGGGAGGTGCTTGCCCAGTGCGCCAGACGACCTGGGTTTAAATGCTGGCCTGGCATGTGACCTGGACCAGGTGAGCTACCCACCTGGCAGCCCCTCTGCTGCAGTGGTCACTGGGGAGTGAAGGAAGCGAGTCCGCCGTCTGGGATGCGCAGGTGCTCCATGATGTCGACGACCACGCTGGGCATTCTGCTCGTAGAATTGATGCGGAAGTAGAGTTTGTGGCCGAGAAGTACCAGAAAGGTGGGAGGAGGGAGGGTGGAGGGGAGGAAACGCTGCTGAGCCAGGCTCGGGGCTCTAGTTCACCCCTGGAACCAGCGGGAGTCAGGAGGAACCGGGGCTCAGCTGACAGGTCCAGGGAGAGGGGCCACCTGCCAGACCCACTGGACATGAGATCTCCAGCCCTCAGCAGAAAGGCTGACAGGTCACGTGTGCGTGATGAGGCAGCTGCACACTCTGCTTTCTCCCCGTACAAACAGCGTATGTTCCTTACAGACTTTCCTGCGGCCACAGACCGAAAAAGAAGAGACTAGAAGCCAGGTGCAGGTCAGATAGCGCTTTCTGGCTCGAGTCCACTTGATCCTTCTCCCCTCCCTCCCTCCCTCAGTGTGCAGAGCAGCTATGGGGCTCTGTTCTCCGCATCCAGGATGGGAACGGAAGCAGAGACGGCGCCGTCCTCTGAGCGAACGTTTTGTTGTGACCATCCGGGATGGACCAGGGCCCTTATTTTTACTGTATTCTTGAAATGTTTTTGCTATGTATTTTCTGTTACAAAGAGGGATAACACTGTAGATATTTAAAGCCATTCCCCCCAACTCTAACTCCTGGGCATCTGTAGTATCTTCTGCAGCACCCTTTAAAATGGCTACATAGTGTTCTTGCATATAATGTAACATTGTTTAACCGCCAGCAGCCCCTAGTCCTGTGATGCAAGCAGTTTTATTTTGGAAAGAATCCAGGCATCTGGGACTGAATCCAGTTTTCCCTCGGTGTGGATT